TTGTATCGAAACGACCGGCCACCATCATAGCATAAGATCTTGTAATCTTGTCCGTGTGTGGTAAAACGGAACCCGAGGCTCAGCCATGGAGGTAGGTAGGTAGGTAGATAGATAGATAGATAGGTAGATCTAGGTAGTTAGTAAAATCCAACTAGTGGTCCATTGTCAATGTTGAATTCTGATTGGTTGAGCTAATACTAGGCTATATGTTATAGCCCACTAGTAGCGAAAAGCGCTGGCTTTTTGGCGGCAAAAAAGGATTAAAGTCTAGCTTTAACTAGCTAAAGTTGTTTTGTCTCGATATTTTTGACCAACTAGTTGGATTTTACTAAAACAATTATTCCTCTCGCCCTCATGGCCTCTGAGTCAATAGCCCATGAGGCCGAAGGCCGAATGGGCTATTGACTCAGAGCCCATTCGGGCTCGAGGAATAATTGTTAAATACAATTCATTACAATTCAAATAAGAAAACAGTATAAACTATCTACATTATAATAAAAATATTAAAGAAAAAGCTGCTTTCCATGAATGCCATGCCCTTGAGTACTTGTTTAAGAAGACATTTGAATTTCGTAAGAGACTCTGCTTGTCTCACATTACACTGGAGTTTGTTCCATAGGATGGCGCCACTATAGCTAAAGCTATTGTTGTAATAATTTGTCCGTGGTAAAGGATGCAAAGTTAATTCTCAGAGTCTCCAAGGTTATATGCCGTTTCTCGTATTGTAAACCTAGAATATAAATATTCTGGAGCCAACCGGTGTAAAGACTTAGAAACCATCGTGGCTTTTTCAATTTCATGCTGGCGTGCTAGATTTTTCCATCCTGGGAGTTCAAACAGGTAACCAGCGTCTTCATCGTAGTCTGAAAATGTCAAAAAACGGGCTGCTCTAATTTGTAGTTTTTGAAGTTTGTTCCTTAAGGTTATCCCACAGTTTCCGGCCAAAACAGTATTGAAATAATTAAAGTGAGAGTGAATAAGAGCTTGGTAAATTAGTTGTAAGGTCGCTTGGGGGACAAGGTGCCTTACTCGCTTTATGGCCGCGATGCCAGAAGATACTTTCTTTATTATCTTCTCCATATGGCTACCCCAATCGCGATTATTATCGATGGTCACTCAAAGAGATTTAGCAGTAGCGACTTGGGTAACTCGAAAATCATTAATTGCAAGTGTTGGAGAAACTGTTACAATACTTAGCCTCTGCCCAGATCCAATTGACATAAAGTCGGTTTCCATGAACTCGCAAAGTGCACTTGATAAGACGAAACTTGCTCAAAATACATTCTAGTAAGGCTTTTCTACTGAGAACTTCGACTGAGAATTTATCTCAGAGTTAAGATTTCAATCCATCTATGAATTTTATCGTCTTTGCCGAAGTTGAGCCTTCATTTCTTGAATGCGGTTCACCAACGGACGATTTGAAGTTGCACATTTTCCAAGGACTAGATCCAGGTCCTCCTCGCTTTTCTGAGAAAAAGCTGTTTCCGCTGCATCTTCGTATTTCCTGGGACAAAAATTAAAATGTCGTTTATAAATAGGTGGAACATGATTAGCTAGTTTCTCGAAATTCCCGGTAACGTTTCGGGCCCGAAATAAAATATTTAATTCAAAATCAAAGCGGGAATAACAGGGCGAGTCCTAGCCAACAAACCAGTCAATTTTGTTTTTACTGATAGAAAGCTACACGTCATATCAGTATGGAATATCTGCAAACATTCTTCAGACAAGCTCGCGAGGAAACCAGTGATGGTGTCACAAAATGTCAGCTATTTTCTCAGGGTAGCATCAATTAGCAGTGTAGAACTCGAGTTATTGTTCCCAATCACTTACGAATTTGTATACGCCCAGGGTTTTGTGGTCAGCGGATTCAGTGCGCGCTTCTTGGTTCTGGGGTGAAAGGATGATCGGCATAGTTGCAACACAAGTGCCACTACACAAGGCAAGTTTGTTTAGCCAGCACTTTAAGCACAGTAAAAACTTCAATAAACTCACCCGGGAAGAACTCTGGAGACATATTTCTCCGCCTCTGTTCTGATCTGTTGTTGGATTCCAGGCAAGCTTCAAAAAACGGCTGTAAAAGACCAATGTATATAACATCAACAGCGTCTGCACACTGGAATGTTTATTCACAATGTTTCACTGAGTTATGGAAACTCATGAACGTAGTCTTTAAAAATAAAAAAAGAAATAAATGCCTTTTGATAAATACCGACGAATCTGTACCAACGACCATCTTTCCAAGACGACCATTATTTTATTCCGGCAGACAGTCCGTACATTCACTCTTGAACATTTAATATCTTACGCAGTGGGGTTAGGGTTTCTTTTCGTGTTTTTCATTTTACCTACTGCCAGGTTCCGGGGGATATTCCGGGGGTATCCGGAGTGTTCCGAGATGCCCCCTTATTCCCCACAATGGCAACGCCTCTAGAAAAGGCACTTTTCTCTAAAGGGAGCCGTTGTAGAAAGGTTTGACTCTGGCACAAAGCCGTTGCCGGTTTCGGGAAAACCTAACTTGCGATCCGGCGGTCCTTTACTCCCTTTCAAACGCTTGACACAGGCTACAAATCAGCGGGGTGAACAAACAAAACTTAACACTACATGGTGCAACTAAAGGCTATTTCAATAACGGGCTGAGAACGTGAACGAGAACGCGATGGACGCGTGAGGATATGAAAGGACGGAAACCCTTCCCTTTCTCCTCCCCCACGCGCCCTAATTCCCACATTTCTCTTCCCCTTCAAAGGCACAGGCTACAAATCAGCGGTGTGAACAAGCAAGCCTTAGATTAACGTGGTGCACCTAGAGGCTGTTTCAAAAAAAGGTTCTTGGATGTCAAAGGTCTCGTTGTTTACGCGGTCTCTGATAAAAAGAAGATGTTACAAACCTTTTGTCCGGAACCCTGAATTCCTTTTTCAGTTGCTCAGCGACTTTTAGGTCCTTGAAGTATGCAATGAAAAGTATAAAGTAATCCTTAGAAACTAACGCCAGGACAGTATGATAGTCTGTGGGAATTAATTGACTTTCAAGAAAGCTACTTAATAGTACTTTCTACAGCGGTTTACTGTGCTTTGCAAGGTGGTTTTAACTACTTTAAGTCTGGATTAAATCTTAAAGAACGACAATTCGAACGAAAGCTACTGAACAGAGATTTCCTGCATATACTGTTGATTCCAAGTTCTACGATTTGATTCTGTAGATGCAATCTTTTAGTATGGCCATTCAAATGAAAGCTTGTACTTGGCAGAGATTTCCAGCGGTACTGTTTATTAAGCATTTATTTAATGACATCTTAATTTTGATCATTCAAACGAGAGCTACGATTCAGACGATTTTTGGATCAATTGAGATTTTTGAGTAACTGACTACCTACCCCTCCTTTAAGTTACAATTTGTCCCTAAATAAGAAGTAGGGGTTAATGTTGACTTAGGGGAAGGGTAGGTGGTCAGTTAACCAGCCTAAATCCACAGTAAAGGCTAACACAGTTGAGTATGTTACTGATCGCACCTGGTAGATAGTATCACTCAAGGACAGATCCATAAATGTCTTTCTGTACTTCTCTTCTAGTTTGACTTGATATTCCATGAGTTTCATTTGTTCTTCTGTTGCCTGGAAAATTGAATCGCTCGTCCTTACAATGCATCACTGACAAGAAATGTTTTGTTAATATTTATAATATTGTTCAGATATAGAGTGTTTTCACTCACGTGACCAGCATCTATGCAAATTTGTTGGAACAAAAGATAGCGTTTGGATATAAAGAAAAGAGTTTAACTCCCAGAGAATTGGTTTGGGACACCAATATGGCCGCCATGACGTCATGTGAAAACACTCTTTTAACGCGCACTCTGATTGGATGACAAAGCGTGTCTATCAGGGTATAAAACACGAAGCTTCAGCTTTCACGCCATCTGCCAATAGTTTGTTTTGAAAATTAGAAAGTAATGCGTGGAGAATTTAACGGATTCTTTATCATAAAACCAATAAAGAAACCTTTACTGTGCTTTGTTATGTTACAAAGCACTTAAGAAGTAGGGATAAACACTCTCGACTAAGTCTTGTGCGTCCCCCTACACTCGGCCTTTTGTGCCCCAGCCCGGCGCTTTCTGCGTGATTCATATCAGTTCAAAGCACAGTCAAAGTATTTGTTAATCAAACACAGCGAGAGGAGTGGAGAGTTTCTGGGTGCTTTTGATTCGAATGTCGTAAGTTTATCCCGTATCCTAGATTACTAGACAAAACATAACATCCGTCTTCTGTTTCTCCACATAGTAAGGAATGAGTGGCTCTAGCGTTGAAGGAGTTTGAAGTATTTTAAATCAAAGCAACAAAGTGAAGAGCACACACCTTTGAGTAGAACTGAAATCCTCCTTGCTGGTAAGACATCTGTGCTTTGGACAATGTGTTCATCTTGGATTCTATTGTCTAAATAATAAAAATAGAAGAAAATCAGATTTTATGTCAAGTGTAGTGACAAGAGATATCAAAACGATGATTCTATTCTATGGCCAGCAACATTTCATAGATAACGAATTTCCTGTTATTTCTCAAGGAATAATAAGGTGAGCGCCAATCTCTTTTCCAAGGATGTGATCCTTTTGGTTCAGGACTAAAAGTAACCGCTCCGCTAGACAAGGTTAGTAAAAGCTCTGCGGAGCAGATTGGGAGAGAGACCGGAAGGCGTTACGCAACTAATAATTAACCCTTCGCGTGACGGCCTTTAATATAGAGCTGCGATTTTCAGGCGCGCGCGCTTTGTTCGCTGCACGATCCCTGTGAAAAATAACACATAACTTGTAGTCTTATGTCTCCTTTGGTCACGTGGTCGCTGCATGTATTGAGGGCCACTATTTACAACGAAGAAATAGACGGGAACAATTAGCGCATGCGTACTAGATATCACTGGTTATGGTTAGAACGAATTTTTGTAAAGGTTTCGAGTTTAAACACGAGAAATGTGCGAGTTAAATTACAAATAAGAGTTGCCCCACGTATTCTTGGCTCTTCCTGACACTCAAAATAAACAAGATTGCTGCCGACCATTCGTTCACAGGGGTTTATCCCATTTTCCAACGGGGAAACGTCCCGGCAATGAGGTTGAGGGGAGCTTTGTAGTCACCTAAAAGTCACGGAAACGAAAATAATCTATGATGCCATGAAGAAACGGAGTGAAGCGTACGCACCCCTTTGCTCAGAATTGAAATTACATATTAAAGAAATAAAATAATAAAACAACATTCGACCAGATCCCCTCCTAAGCAAGATAGCATGCAAGCTACTTTATGTGATACCTTCTCACTGTAGCTGTCCTGCACAAAGGCATTACCACTGTTCATAAGCTGGTCATCCTGGTAGAACAGGTCCTGATCCTTGCAGTACTGCAGACAAATCACAGTCATGCCAAAGTGAATATATAGGTTTCACAATAGCCTGCGTGGTAGTTTGCGTAACAGGTGCAAAAACGAGAGAAGAGGGGGAGGGGAGTGAAGGGAAAAGAAGCAAAAATGAAAAAAGGTGTCTTTTTTTTCTCTTCCCTTTACCCCTCCCTTTTTCACTTTTTTCAATACCTCTTAAGCCGCCTGCCACACAGTCTAACGATTTACAATAACCGAGTGATTTACGCGCCCCGATTGGTCGAGAACTTTTGCTTATGACAGTACAGAGAAGAGAAACAGAACTGAAGGTTCTTCTCTTCTCTGCTTCTTGAGTGCGATTCTCCGGGACCTTGAAAAAAACAAATAGAAACGTAGCCATTTTTCACTGCCGCGACTCCGACATTTCAAAGAAATGAGATTAAAAATGCTCCAAACTTTACCGTAAAACCTCTCACCCCTCCACTTAAGTTTTAAACATTTTAACGTCATTTTTATGACCTTAAAGAATGAACAGATAAAGGAAAAAATGTCTCCTGGCAAATAATGGCGGATTTTCTCTTGGTTGAAGCCTTGAACAAATACGCACTTATTTACACAACTTCTTTTCACAGACTCACCTTGATGTAGAGGCTGAGTGCCACAGGTCGGTAACGTATGGCCATCAAGAACTCACCAAGAGTTAGATTATCCTTCAAATGCATAACAACCATATACACTAGAAAGAAAAATAAGACAACACAAATGAAATGTCATCTAGATACAGGGGAAAATCAAGTAGGCGGGTTTTGGAGGACGGAGGTTCAGATCCATCAACTTTGATCACCTGACCAGAGAAAGCTGTTACCATTGGAGGAGAGCATGTAAGGATCAAGATGGTTGAAATATACTTGAAATTGAGTGAGGCGAGGGAAGATCCAAATAATGAGCAACAAAACAATCTCAAAAATATTTTAAGGTTTGAACCTCTGTCTCAGCTTGTAATGCCGCTGGTGTAACGCCAACTTTTACGCTGAGAAAAAGTTTATTCTAAATTTTTGGAACCTTTGGTACAATTTCAACATTACGATAGATCTTTCTATAAGTCAGCTGTTACGACTACGACGAAACAAAAACGGGCTTTAAAAATTGTTCCCATCCACTATACTTAAAGTTAGCTGTAGTTCTCTGCAGTGGTACCCACTTATAACTCACCCAGATCCGTGTCTCCACTCATAATGGCCTTCTCGAGCGCTAGGTCATCTTTATTCATGCGCATGAGCAGTGGAACTTGGTCCGCGGCTTTTGCTTCATAGTCCAACAGCTACAGGTAAAAAATCAGACCACGAAGATGTGAGTATCTTGAAAGATACATTAAGCATTATGGCATGGCCTGTACACAGACGTTGTTTTATTTTTCTTTTCGTTCTTTTCAAATATAATCCCCTGCGGTTTATATTTTATCACCCGCGCTCGACGGACTTTGAAGAGAAAATAGAGGGTCTGTGAACAGGCTATCATGGCATGGCTATGATAGGCTCGTTTACCGATTGTCAAACGACGAACTTACTATGGTGAGATTGCTCCAGCTAGAAGTCAAGGCTGGCTTCAAGCCAGGTTGTAAGCAGGTCTCCTCGTGGAGGCACAAGCGGCGAAGCCACGAGAAAGGCCGTAGGCAAAACCTGGACCTCAGAACCGGATCAGATCATTCCCAGAGGCACTATCCCTTATCTTTCGTTATTCAGAAAGTTACAGGGGTTGATCTGACCCGGTCCGTTCCAGGTTTTGTTGACGTCGTATGAGACGAGCATGTTGGTAACCCCCGGACAGACCAATGGTGAAAGTTAAGAAGTTATATTAACCAATGGACCACGTTCGATATATTAAACTTCTAACATGATTCCGAGGCTTTAGGGTCCCTTCTTCGCTCTGACGAAGGGCTAGAGCATGAAACTTGTTTGTATTTAATTTATCAACTCATTTGTTTAATCTCTCCATATTCCATTCCCCCATTGGTCTTCTTTGCAGCTGTACGTTTTCTTTCTCGACATGAGTCCTTTAACAATTGAGTAATATTTCACCATAGTGGTGTTGCTGATAATAAAGGGGACCGCCGAACTAATTACAAAGCGCGGTCCTCATACTCCGGATACTGAAAAAAAAAATCTTGATTACTTACAGTAAAAGCAATCTCGCAGGTAAAAAAATCCCATTCTATACCAAACCACGTTATTTTAAGCCTCAGTGCATTTAGCAAGGAAATACTAACGGAGGACACCGCTTTATGCCTCAAATTGTGCTTGGAACGTAATCTATAATAAAACTGTTCACATGTGAATGCTCTCAACTAACCTTGATGGCCAGGTGAGTTCGTCCACAGTCCACTGCCTTTGAAGCTATTTCTGAGTACGATATCCCAGGAGTCTCTCCGAGCTTGGAGTTGATGCCACGAGCAATCTCTTCGTCAACAACATTGGCTTGCTGAACCTGTTTAAACAAGAGAAGCAAGTTTTGAAGAGGTGAAGGATTGAAAGAGATGTCAATATATTCAAGACAAGAAAAACTATTTACGGACACTATTGTATTCTACTAGGGCGGAGAAGTTAATTTCAATGTGATCATCCCAGCCATGTGAAAGTCCAACTGTTTAGGATTTAAAACCCCAACTGGCAGGAGGCAACCAGTTGGCTATTTACAAGCATGACCGGTATCTGAACTTGGAAATACCGCGAAGAATTTCAGCAAGTGGCTAGAGTGGGACTCCAACCCGGGACCGGCGGATTGCGAAAACAACGCAATGGGCGCCTGGCCACACTGTCTTCACCGCGTACAATCCAGTCTAATTGATCTAGATCTTTTCATAGGTTGATTTTTTGATCTCTGATAAATACACAAACACGAAGAGCAATGTGCCAAATTGAGCACGTGAAACAACCACCGAACACCAAACCCCAGTTATGTCTACTGCCACAACCATAATTTACCATTAATAATTTTAGCAAATTACCAGCAATAAGCTGATGGCAGGAAGACCCCTGCCTAAATATAGGTAACAGCCAACCGGTATCCGCTCGTCACACTCACTTTATAACAAGCCCAGTGTCCAAGGATGCGACTGGCACCCTCCCCCTTAGGAATCTTCAGGTAATCACAGATTCTTATGGCCAGACAGTAGTGACGCCTCAAAACAAGCCTACAGGAGCAGAAAATAAACGGTAGTAAAATGAACTTAAGGCAAAGAATTCCCTCTCCAGATCTGACGGCGGATCTGACTAAATCTATATTTAGACACGAAAAGTAGGCAAGTAAAAAAACAACAACTTTGCTTCAACTTGTTTTATATTCAGTAGGAATGCAAATAAAAGTACTATTTCGTACTATGTACCATAGCAGGTCTGGTGTATAATCAATAAAAATTTCGACCCTGCACACTATAGAGCCCTCATCAGCTCAGTGGGTAGAGCGTCTGATCTCGAACTCGAAAGGTCGTAAGTTTGATTCTCACCTGAAGCTCGGAACTTATTGAACGTTTCACATTACAATAAACACTTAAACACTTAATGACTGGTCTCGAGGGAAACAGTTAAATTTGTTTTCCGAGAATCTCAATGTTTCCCGAGGCTATATAGCTGGAAATTCATCAAACCTCGCTGTAACGGTAGTCGTCGGATTCGTGGGTAACAATGCACTGTTCCCCTATGACGTCATAGATTTTCCAATATTGTCCGCTCACAGATTTTGGCGGGAAACAGTTTCATTGTTAGATGTCATGTGACCTCGAAGAAACCAATGAGAGCGGGCACTGTTATGAAAAAATTTCCAGCTACGTAGCAATACACCTTGTTTACCGGCCCCCTCCCCCTCAAAAAAATACATAAGCATTGCACGTTTTAGCTTTTTTAAAACGACAACAAACAGCGTGACAAAAACAAAACTCACCTGTCGATAAGGGTTTTCATTGTTAGTTTTTCCAGTCTAAGACGATCGTCAAGGCGTCAAAATTGGATAATTTTTGAAAAACAATCAAAGAGTACTCTCAGAGGACAAAAAAGCAAAATGGAGCCCCCTTAAGAACTTGATAAGAGCCACAAAATTGAAAACTGTGTTAACGTACTTTTAACATATCCGTTTCAAAAAAGAGAAAAAGGAACATCTCGTTCGTTCCCTGTAAAAAAATGTAATTTAAACCCGCAGCTTTGCTCCGTTACATAAATCGCACCGAAATTATCGTTCTCTCGACGCAAGAGCTATCTGGCATAGTGTTTCCCTGCGTAGGAAAAGTTTCCGCTCAAGTTCGCCGAAAAAGTTGGGACCAGAGCAATGATAACTTAGTTGAAGATGATGTGAACTGCGGAAATACAAGTTTAAATGAAGATATGATCGTCAGAGTGGAAATTACAATTTAAGCAATTGCAAATTAACCCGAAAAATAAAAAAGTTTTTCGTGTTGCTACGGAGGCTAGCATAGTGTAGACTTGCTGCAACACACGCTGCAATTGGGCAAAATGTAACCTGCGAGACGACGCTTTTGCAACAACTGAAAATTTGGTTCACTCTTGAATTAAGATAAAGGATACTGTCCATATGTAAGTGGAATTCCAACCATGTAGTCCCGCACGGCGTTTAACACGCGAAGATTCCGGCACATTGAAACAAACGCGTGTGGCGGCATATCAGTTAGAAAACTCTTACCAAAGGAAGCAGCCTAGCAAAGAGAAGAAAAGATTACAGCAGAGATCAGTTAAAAAAAAACGGTTATACTATAGGTGGAACTTTCCCCAACAACGACCGCCGGAGCGCTCTTATTGGTTACTACAAGGACACATGACATGTTACACGAGAACTACTTCCCGCCTAAAATCTCTGACCAAGCGGCGTTGCAAACTTCGCTGGTAGATGGTAACAGAGCAGTGTTATCGGCGAATGTTGACCACTCGCTGAGATTTTCTATACTTTCAATTCATCTTTTATAACTGAAAACTCAACGAATGACGCGTTCGTCGAAAGCATTAATGAAGTCCTTTAAGTCTCTTACTACACTCCTCAAATAGAAACATAATGGACGAACTATTTGCGCTCCTTCGCTTTCAATTCAAATTACCCAGATATATTGAGTACAGATTTTCTTTTCACGGTATCACGTTCAACGATTTATGCCCAAGCGAATTTGAAGGAACTTCAGCAGATTAACCAAAACGTTTTTAGTAGGAGGTGGTGATTTTGCCACGGAAGACAGGTAATATATTTTTCAAACAATGGTAAATTTATCTAGCAGTTTACAGAACACCAACCACTGTGTAAGAAACCTTAAACTTGTCAGCAACTCCCCCACCCCCTGGGGGTGGGTTGCTGTGAAAATCGAAACGTAGCAACTGAACGTAAGGATCATGTGGTTACCATGACTACCTCCGAAACTATACTCACCCTCAGCAGTCCTCTTTGTATTGCAGGCTCATGTTCCCCGGCAGCGGCGTGGATACATTGCTGGACAGCCTCAGGAAGACGTTCTTTGATCATCCGAATGTACTCCTCTGCTCGGGCGCTCTTTTTCTGTTTACAGGAATATACACGAAAGAATCATAACGACAGCTTAATTTTTAGGGATTTAGTTTTTAGTGCAGTTTAGAATCTTTAAGTTGAAACTTTAATGTTGTTCGTCAGGTATTCTTTTTATTATCATTCTATGTTTTTCTTCATTCGTCATTGTTCTTTCTTATGAATTCTGTAAAGCGCTATTGAGCTTTTGATTATTTTTTATTATATGGAAAAAGTTGGCTCAGCTAGGATGGTGACCTTACCAAGGAAAACAGGTCACCCAACAACAGGCTCGCCCAGGGTGGCTCGCAGTGGTGGTCTAACAATAAAGGGGGTGGGGGCGAGCCCCCTTGGCCCCTCCCCTAGATCCGCCACTGGCTTGGGTAGGCGGCTGAGCCTTTTACCCGAGACAACTTTTTCCCAGAGAGAGTGAAGCATTGCTTACCTCAAATTCCTTTGATGCATCAAACAGCATCGCACCTGGTTCCATTGAACCGATTTTAAACACCTGTTCCACAGCAGCTGAAAGATGAAAAGAAATAGTTGCTCTAGTATCGGACATAATTACCGTATTTATTCGATTAACCGCCCTGGGCGCTTATTAAATTTTTGGACTTTGAGAGTGGGCGCTTATTCGAGGTGGGCGCTTGTTCGAGGCTGGGCGCTTATTAAATTTTCAGCATTTTCAGCAAGTGTATTATGTTTATTTTGCAACAAAACAATAAATGGTAATAACAAAACTCGAAGATTTTTGCAACAAAACAATAAATGGTAATAACAAAACTCGAAGATGTAACAAGTCAAGGTTCCTGTAAAATACTTTGAAGAAAACTCCGTCTTCGGGGAAGTCTCTTATTAGTACTTATTCAATTTTGGGGGGGTGGGGTGGGGGTGGTCGCTTATTTGAGTTTGAATGGGAGTGGGAGGGAAGTGGGGTGGGCGCTTATTCGAGGCTGGGCGCTTATTAACTTTTTCTGCCTTTAGGATGGGCGCTTATTCGAGGTGGGCGCTAATTCGAGGTTGGGCGCTTATTCGAATAAATACGGTATTCACATTCGTGATAAGAAGTGGTTCTGGCTGAACGGTAACCGGTCAAGTCGCCCGAAAGTCTAATCAGCCGAAACCAGAGTCATGCCAACCGAAATCCTAAGTCATGTCGCCTAAAATTTTATCGAGTGTATAAACTTGAACAAAGGTAACATCTGAAGTATATTAGCGGAGCTCCCGCGCGCGCTTCGCGCGCGCGCAGCGGAGCACCATGGGTAAGAAAATTATTTTGGTAAACTATCCATCCCAGAAAATTTGGTTATGACGTAGCGTACGTCCGTCCGTACGGACTTTCCGGGTAGTGGAAAGTAGTCCGCATGGCCTCTTGGGGTAGGGGAAAGTACAGATTTTTTTGGCGGGAAATCGCATGGCGCAACATCGCGCAATTATATCGCGCAACTGGTTTTGAAAAAAAGAAAGCAAGTAGAAAGAGTCAGAGCGAGAAGAAGGAGAGAAAATTATAGTGAAAAACGCCGGCAAGTAGAACGAGACAGAGCTAGAATGAACAGACAAAGGCAACGCGAAAGAGAAATACAAAGGCAAAGAGAACGGCAGCAAAATAATGACATGATGACAGAAAGTGTTGTGTTAATGTCACTATGGCCCCGCGCTATTAACATTTTGATTTCAAACTGATCTCGGACTCGAAAATTCAGCCAGTCATTTAAAAATACAAGCAGGGAAGACAGAGGCTTTTCACTTTTCTCACCATAGTCATGCGTTGATCACGCTCTACGACCGTCCAATTTTTATGCTCTGATTGGTCAAAATTTGACAGGTGAGTTCATACAGAAAATTTATACAGCATCTTGAACCTTGTTTACTTTGAGTTTGACAGCTGAAGCTTATGGAGGCCCGTTCTGGTCAAAATTGATATAATAAAATGGCATCACAAGTGACTTTTTCGGCCAGTGCAGCATTTATTATGGACCCGTTGAGTATTTTTGTCATCACCACACAGGATTTTTTTAGTGTGTTGTTATTTTTTTTTAGCTGCATGAATTATTTTTTAATTAAGGCTGTTTACTTTTTTTATGTTGTTGTATGAATAAATTTTTCATGCGTACCACAAATAATTTTTTAGTGGTACCGCGAATTATTTTTAATACAAGTATTGAGAATTATTTTTTCATCATGCTGAGAATTATTTTTCGCTGTATCGCGAATTTATTTTTGGTTCTACAATGCTTTGCGGGCCTTGCAGTTGAAGTGGACTGGTTCGAGTCTTTGACTTCCTTGAGCGACCATTTTGAAAACTTTGAAGTTGAGAAGTGCTTTGAAAGAGAATGCCAAGGCGAAACATTGTCAGGGAAAGAAACAAAAGAGGTCCTCATCCTTCTTACAAAATCTATCTGGAGCCAGTAGTCTTTGCCGTTCGTGATGAGGTTTTCTGGACCGAAGATTTAATGGAGGAGACTACGAAGGGACTTCACGACTCGTACACAATTCTAATTCTTATTCAGGGTGTCCAGTTCCTATTTTTTCCTATTTTTTGAGCCTATTCCTATTTTCTCCTATTTTTAAACTAAAACGTCATATTTTTCCTATTTTTTAGCCGGTGAAGACAAAATTTGTGACAAAATTGAAAATGAAATTACAATTGTATGTGTTTTTGAGTGAAATTCATCATAAAGCAAGTAGTATGTTGACTTTGATATTCTAATATTAGTAAAAATAACAGTTATGTTTGTTCTTTCCATGACCTCTATTGCCTGTTAGAGTTCTGTTAACATTTTTGTTAACCTACATGTACATGGATTTTATATAGTGTTATAGTTCTCCTCCTGACTACTGAATAATATTGTGTATAGCCCACTGAAACTGCATTTCAGTATCTGTACATGTTATATTTTATTTTGAAGTCTTGCTCACTTTTATGTTCATCTTTGAAACTGAAAACAGGATCAAGTTGTCCTGTCACAACACAGGCCAATCCAATCAGCATCTTGTTTTTAAAAACCAATCATGATCACTAGCTGATTCTGGATGCTACATAAAAAGAACAGACTAAAGTTTAGTTATGGCGCTAGCTCTCTTGGTGAGCCCTTGTTAACAGCTATACCTAAGCAACTGATGAAGGATCCAATATTTTGGTTGCAAAACCGGTCTTGCAATCATAGATAAGCAGTGTTATGTTCTTCTTATAACTTAACCATGACAAACTTACAATCTGGTACCAAACACATCAGTGTCATTTTGGGTACACCACAGAAAGCCTGGTTTCGTACTTAAAATTATGCGGTGTTTTGACTCAAACAAGCATATTCTCAACCAGCTACCGATTGCAGATTAATGGAAGGAAAGCTTTCCATAGGACTTTTACGTTCTAGTTCGATATCGTTCAATGACAACTCAATCGTAAGAAATTTCTATACTAAGAAATTTCACTCTTCAAAGCTTTTCAAAGATTTGCCGCCAGCTTGAGGGGAATTTGCATATGATCACCTTTGATTATAGAACCACGCTTGACCTGCAGTCAAGCATATCATTCTGATTATAGCATAACTGAGGCAATAAACTAAACGTTACTGATCATTTTTACTCCTTCTTAGCAGCAAAAGCTGATCTCAATCCTGCGAACGTAGAATCTGAGGACTTGTGGCATTTATTATAACCCTGATGGGGTGCAGGGAGGCTATCTTTGTCCACAAAAGTACTATTGATTTTCCTATTTTTCTCCTATTTTTTAATACAAAGTTTCCTATTTTTCCTATTTTCTCAATGCTGAGTCTCCTATTTGCCTATATTTTTGAGCAACCATGCCGCTGGACACCCTGCTTATTGCACATGACATGTCTCCCCAATTGAACAGTTCTCTACCCAATCTTATACCTCGAGTCTTCGTCCCGTACCACACATGCTGGCTTTCGGGAAGGAAGATTCTGAGCAAGAACAAACAAGTGCAAAAGTTAATTGCAAAATACGTATTCGACCGCTATGAGAAAAGAAGATCATTAGTTCTTTAGGTTAACATTGATTATAGTTCCACTAGTGTGCAATCTGTGTTATGATTCTAAATTATTTGGATAAAGTCAATGTACATAGGACTGTATAAGACTCCAAATAAATAAAGCATTGTCATTGTCATTGTCATTGTTGTGAAAGAGAATGCCCTCTACCCTGAACTTCAGGAAAAATCTCCCGATTCAAATCCTGACGGGGGGGCATAAGAACTAGCAGAGCCAAATGGATTCGAGGTAGATGACCTTCGCAGAGTGCTAGTGAGAGTAGACCTAGCCTGCAGTGCAGGCGTATTTTGGGTGGGCGAAAGCTTGTTAATCGGATCGCTACGATGAAGCCGCCATCTTTGATTCTACTGACAGAGGAAGATTGGGGAGAGTAGTAATATTAACCCTGACGGTAGGTGTGAGGGCAAAAAAAGAAGAGGGGGGAGGGGGAGGGGAAGAAAAAAATACGCCTGCCCGATAACATTGTTCTTTTGCGAAACGCCGTACGCTGGCAAACGGAGCTCCTGATTGGTGCGGCTTGGGAGAGTAGATTGATGTCTGTCAATCAACTGTAAGTTTATATTGTTTATTCCGTTTTCGTATGCACGCAACTGCGGGAAACATTTATTCTGAATTCAGAAAATGGCGGACCGAAATTCGAATTTTAACTCTGCTCTCGAAGGAAGTCTTTTGGAATTGGAGCGGCTTGGAATGTCGCGTGTTTTACGCACTGAACAAGTCAAAGCGATTTCTACACTGACATCAGGAGAAGATTTGGTCGCAGTGCTGCCTACTGGATTTGGAAAAAGCCTTATTTTTCAGCTCCTCGTTCGAGTGGTTGAATGTTTAACTGGGAAGGCCTCGTGCGTTTTGGTCGTTTGTCCTCTTAAAAGTATTATCCAGGACCAATTGGCAGAAGCCACTTCGCTAGGTTTGAAAGCAGTCGCTCTTGGAAACTGCCGCTTGGATGACATCTCAAGCGGAAAATACCAGATTATTTACGGTTCCGCCGAAGAGATTCTTTCAAAGCCCTTCCTTTCTTGCCTAAAGAAGACCGATTCACCCTTTCACCAGCAGCTTTGTGCTATTGTGGTTGACGAATGCCACACTGTGGAGACTTGGACCGGTCAAAGGTTTGTATATTTTGGCTTGTGTTCTGTCAAGCGACGTGTTTAAATGCGTCTTCTTGTACCAAGGGTTAACTCACATTGAATTGGTCGACTTCCCTTCTCTCGTTTCAACTCAGGTCTTCAAAAAAGGGAAAAACAGATGCCTTCCGAGCATCATTCGGAGAACTTGGGATGCTACGTTCTTTTTGTAAAAAAAGTTAAGCATAAGCTTTTTTATATCAGAAGTATATACGGTAACTTGTTGGCATGGTACACTTAACTTGATGTGCATACTGGTTTTATAGCTTGTGTCAGGAAATGTAGTTTTTTTCAATTGTGATAACTCTCATCCAATTAAGTGAAACATAAAAATAACCGCAAAAAGCGAAGTAGATTGAAACGGATTGCGATTTTGGTGAGCGTAACAGTTTGTGGATTTTGTAACGTTTTCTTTTATAATTATACCAGGCACGATTTACGGACAGGTTTTCAGCGTAAGCTTTCTTCTATAATGCTTGGGAGATTTTGTTTGACACAAAACCGTGGTTTTGACCTGTGCACGTTTTTTTTTGTCAAGTCTCAAAGCGAATAAGAATTCCTAACAGGCATTACAAACTGAATTCCCCCAGTCGTGTCTTCTACATCTGAAGAGTCAATAACCTCAATAGCCCAAATGTTCAGTTTATTAGATAGTTCAAAATATTATAAAATATTATTATTGGGCACAACTTCTGGTGAGCAATATCTGAAATAATTGCCTCCCTCCAATAATCACCCCTTTTGGTGCATAAAAAGAAAAACAAAAATCACCAGTTATTATTCGAGGAATTATATACGGTACATGCTTTTTGGAAAGTAAACTCAGCACAGCCACAAAATGTCTTGATCATATGACTTTGAACCATATAATTGACAACAAGCTTATATATTGTAACTCCTCTCTTTTAAGGTACTCCTGTTGGTGCATTAACGGGAACAGCAGACCCAACAACTCGCGAAACAATAAAAAGAGCCTTGAATCTGTCACAAACTGCGGAAGTTATTTATGTGAGTCCAAACCGGTTAAATTTACGGTTTTCAGTCCAAAAAGTGAAAAAAGAGCAGCATTTAAAAAAACTCGACTGGCTTGTTGACCTTGTCAAAAAGGAGGGGATCAACACCCCAAAGACAATTGTGTTCTGTAATACAATGAACGAAATTGCCATCGTTGTGAACTACCTTATGTCTCAGCTGGGGAAGAAAGTATTTTTTCCTAACTATTCGTCTGTAAAGGACAACTGTTTAATAGGTATTTATCACTCTAATTCGTGGCAAAGTAGCAAAGACAGAGTGATGGAACAGTTCAAGTCTGGTGGTGTAAAACGTGTGATTATTGCTACCACAGCACTCTGTATGGGCGTCAACTTCCCAGACGTTCGTTTCATCATCAACTGGGGGCCAGCCCGGTCGATTTTAGATCAGCATCAAGAGGCTGGGAGAGCTGGCAGAGATGGGAAGACAGCACATGTCATTGTTATTTATCATGGGCAACAAGTTGGACATTGCGAACAACAGATCAAAGATTTTGTCCGTGCTAAAGGCTGTTTTCGTGTTGCTGCCTATAAATCATTGGATGACACGATTCAACCTCTGGAACCTCCTCATGACTGCTGTTCTTTTTGTTCGTCAATTTGCAAGTGTGCTGGTTAAAGTTGTGATGCAGAAACTTTGCCTTTTGCAGCAGTTGAGGACAGTGACAGCAATAATGTGAAGTTGAGAAAAGTGACACCCAGCGGAAAGAGAAACATTGAAAGAAGCATTGTATGAGGTCTTGTATGATTTAAGAGCTGAGGGGCCTGCATTAGATGACAGCTCTAGTCATGGTTTCTCAATTCAACTCATAGAGGATGTTACAAGAAATTGCGAGTCCATATTTAGTCTTCAAGACCTTTTGACCAGTTACCCTGTTTTTTCTACATCAAATGCTCTGAGGATTTTAGAAGTTATACAAGAAGTGTTTATGGACATTCCAAACTTGGACGAAACTTTGACACTGCTCAAACTGAGTTCAGTTGAACCCAATTTAAAAGATGCGTTTGAATGGTTTGATTTAGATGCTATTGAATTAGGCATAGACAGTGACAGTGAGACTGAGCTTCCAGAATTGTAGACCTCTGGTATGTATTGGTATGAGTTAGAGGGATAATATGATTTTCTCTACCTCGAAATTGATTCATCAACAAATCATAGAAGCATGAGCAAATTTGTAAACTGACAGCTTTCTTTTCTTTTTGTAAGCACATGACATAGAGTAATAATGATACATGTATGACAGTGTTCCTATTAGAAGCCAGTAGCAGGGTACTGGTATACATGTTGTCTGAATATTGTACCTGGCTGTCCCATAAAGGTATGGCATTAAAAAGGTAGTAGACCTTACAAAATTTGCCTTTTTATCAGGGATTTAGCTAAGACGAAAGTGCCAACAAATTTCTTCAGCTGGAAATGATCCAACCTCTGGCTCAAATCACTCTTGAATTGGAATGAACTGAGTTGGCGTTGCTTATATATAAACCTCTTTTTTTACTAAGCCAAATCCCTGATTTAAAAATCCTATATCCTCGTGGTTCCATATATGATGAAATGCCTTGTATTAGCTATGTACATATTTTGTAAATACAGGTAATTGATTTTTAGCATACACTGTCGTCTGTGATGGGCCTAGGTTTTTTTCATCCTGTAGTGTTGTCAAATGTAGAACAACATTCCATGTACATGCTTATAGTACAAGTTTATGTTGAGATATAGTTACAAAGAACAAACACACTGTATATGCTTGTCAAATTAGAATGATCCTCTTACGGGCTGACTGTTTTGATATGTTTGATATTTGTATGTTACAATATCCAGTCCTAGGAAATTGCATCTGAACTGGACCTGTTGCCATTTTGTATAATGTAAAATTAATGTAAAAACATGTTTATAATAAACATATTGTTTACTATTCTAACAAACAACAATGTACATGGCTTTGACTAGTACTAAAAACCCTAGTGGGAAATTTGAATTATTTTAAATATTATTCATCTTAACCGATACTGGGCCAATCAAGGTTACTGGTTGTGTGGTGATGTACTTAAGTTCATGGATTATCTTTCCTGTTGATATATTGAACCCCACAGGTCAATGTGTTCTTTTAGCCACTTGTGCAAATCCCTGTAGTCAAGACCATGTAGGATGCTTCGTTCGAACTTGGGAAAAGATGCATAACCCTCTCTACCAGGTGTCCTTTGAAAGGCTTCATTACATAGCAGGTCAGCAATGACTTGGTTAACAGCTTCCTCTTCTTTAGGAGTTTTTCTTCCAAAATGCTGTTCTTTTACAGAACAGTCTCTGTCAACTGAATGATAGACAAGCTGTATTGCTCCCAATGTTCCGGCTGTCCTCTCAGCATTCTGCTCGTCAAGGTTAGCACCAAGGTTACGCCACATGCTTTTGATGTCTTTGTTGTCATGCTCTTTTTTCAAGTCTAGTGGAATGTTTCGTCCAGGGAGGCCACTGACATTGAAGAAACGGTTCCACTTCAACCTTAGTGCCTGGGATGGGGGAAGTATGGCAATGCACTTAACCAGGTACAAGAGTACTGCATAGGCATACTTGTAGTGATGGTGGGTTTTGTAGAGCAACAATGCTAATTTATAGAGGTCAAACAGCCTTTCACCATCACCCTCTTTAACTGCATCATTGAATTCAAATAAGACCAATCCGAATGCAAGCTTAGCACTATGATAGTTGAATATGTAGTCTTCTCGGCCTTCTTCCTGTGGATTGTCATTATCAACAATTGTTTGGCCATGTTGTTGCTCTTCATGCCTATCAAGAATATCAATACCTTCTTAATAACAATTTTAACAACTGGTCATGTGCCTCAATTGAAGATTCTAGGTCAACAACCTGTGTTTATCAAATTTGTCCCTACCTGTTTCTTGTTGCTTTGGTCTTGAAAACAAATCCACACCGTACTCTACAG